GCTATTTTTTCGATGTATTTCGACAGCCCAACCGTCGCGCGTCGGCCAAGAGTGCCACATGTGAACTTGTCCTTTGAGCCGCGCCGTCGTGGCGGGCTTGCGTCAGACGACGATGTTAAGCAACGTTGCCGTAGTTACAACAATTTCAAATTCAAGACATTCGAAGCAATCAAATTCGTATTAAATTTTAAAAATAAAACAGAGAAACATGAAAGGAAACAAACAAAACAAAAATGAATTGATTATTCGTTGGGCTGTTTTCGAAATATTGAATTCTGAATTACGATAAACATTTTAGAAATTTCTTTTTTGTGACCTTATCAATAATCAATTCATTTGTGTTTTGTTTCTTTTCTTTCATCTTTTTCAGTTTTATTTTTAAAAATTAATAAGAATTTGATTGCTTCGAGTGTCTTGAATTTGAAATTCTTGAAACTACGGCAAGCTCGCATGGCGCAAGCTCGACACGCCGGCGCGGCGCGACAAAGGAGCACTCAGGAGCAGTTACCAATGATGCGCGGCTCTCTTGGCCGACGGTTGGGTTGTCGATGGAATTGTCGAAATACATCGAAAAAATAGCTAAAAAACAAAATACGTATTTAAAATTGTTGAGTGAAACATTTATTTTCTTAAATTGAAAATAGTTCGTAAAGTGGCGGTAAGAGACAATAATTCTCATCATTTTATTCATTCAGAAATGTATTCAAACTAATGTGTGCTTTTCAAGGTGTTTTGTAAATTAGGGGTTCAAATTGTGATGAAGCCTATATGAAAATAATGTGTTAAAAATGGGGACTGTTATTTTAGCAGTTATTTATAATAGCATGTACAAGTAAAGCAGCACAGTGAAGTGTATTTTAGTTAAGTGTGTATCGAAAAAGAGAACTGTCACAGTTACATCGATCTGTCATAAGTATCTTTTTTAATGTTGGGTAAGTTTTTTAATTTAACTTTTTTAACTTTTAAACATTTAACTTTTAATTTATTTTATGTAATAATATCACAATCTTAAAAATGTAATGCATCTCTGCAAACTCCTCAGGTGTTGTGATTTTATGACTTACTTTTAAACATGTACTTTCTTGTCCATATGGCAACACAGTGCGACGAATTAACTGAAATCCGGGCTTGATCCGGGTAATTGGATGTAATTGGCAATATCTGCCGGCGGTTCTCAAAATGTTACGATTATTTTTTTAATTTTTCAAAGTTAAATAACTCGGTTATTTTCAATTTATTTTAAAAATGGTAAAGAGAAAATATGTTTATTTTGACCAGATCTACCACCCCTTAAAATATTTGCACTCATTTCTGGGACACCCTGTATATAGTAAATAAAAATGACACTTTTTTTGTGGCGAGGTTGTACTTTTGACAGCGACGCAGAAAAAGTAATTTTTACTCCGAATAGAACATGCTATTTTTGTTTCAAACGCCACAAGTAATTTTTTAAAGGATTTCAAACGTTCCAAATATATAAAAGTAATACGTTGTATGTAATTATATATCGAGAAACGAGGCTCGTTGAATTTGACACATGTCAGTTTAATAATATATTTTCGTATTTTTATGCCTAGGCGTTAAAATGACTTTTTATATTGTCAATCATGTCGCAAAAATTAATACTTTTGTGACGTTTGAAAAGAAAAATATATTTTTTAACTCATTTAAGCAGCCCTCAATTTTTCCATATATCACAAAATTGTCGATCCATGAAACTTATATTTTTTCAAATCAAACATATTTTTAGCGTTAAGAAGCAGAGAAAACGTATTATTTTTAGTGTACGCGATAACACGTTATAAGAAACAACACAGTAACTATTTCCTTATTAATAAAAAATGGAAATGTTATAGTAAAAGTCTTTTTTATATACTTAAACCTACATCGATAAAACTATATGCATGATACAGGGAGACCAATATCGACACTAGTTCAAAAGGCCTTGGGAAATTCTAATTGAAACGCAAGAACTATTTGAAAAATATTTGAAGAAATACACTCACCGGCACAAAAAACAGGCACCTTAAAATTTTGATGTATTTTAAAGTTTTATATATTTTGTTCTAGTGGGCCGATTTTGATGATTTTTTAAGCAATATGTAGCTAAATGATATGACTTTTTAGTATCTCTTTCTAAATTAAAAATTAAATTTGTCAATTATACGAGGGAAAACAAAATGTTGATATTTTGCCGAAAGTTTCAAGCACTCTGTGGAGTATGTTAACAAAGCAAGGAGTTAAAAAAATCTTCTAAAAGCTATTGCTACCTAGATGTGTTTCAAACTTTCACCAAAATATCAACATTTTGTTTTTCCGCGTATAATTGACAGACAAGAACTTTCGTTTTTAATCTAGATATATATACTAAAAATTCAAATAATTTAGCTACAAATTGCTTAAAAAATTATCAAAATCGTCCTACTAGAACAAAATATAATAAACTATAAAATATATCAAAATTTTAAGGCCCATGTTTCGTGCCGGTGAGTGTATTTGAAAAAATAGTAACACTAACAATATTTATCGATATTCTGATTACGCCCTGTACTTGTTCTTTATTTATTTAATACCTGCTCTAAACTTGAGTCCCGATACAACCAAACTGGATTGATTATTCGCTTTTCGCACGAAAAATATAACCAAAGTATCAACTTGAACTAGAATAGGCAAACTATATTTCGTATCTTATAAGTTTTAATTTGTAAAGAAAAGTAATATAGTTCGTATTACAGAAGATGTCCCTTATATAAGTGCAAGTATAGTAGTAGATTTGGACAAAGGAAACATATATTCCATTTGCAATTTTGAAAATAAACAGTAAGAAAATAAAATAATAAAATAGCAGAATTATATAACTTTATATATAAAAAAAACATACATTTTGAGAACCGCTTATATCAAGCGGTTCGATGTGTGGATAAACACACTGTGTGTTTGTTTTGATCCATGGCCAGCTACCAGTCTTAAAAAAAACTTAATTCATTAAAAAGATTTAAGACTTTTTATAAAAGATTTAAGGCAGATTTTTATATAATTTTAACATATTTATTTTAACAATTTTATATTTAATTTTTAACAGCAGCATTTCTTATAAACTGTAATGCGGCAGCCAGGCAGCAGATAATAAAACAACACTCAATACCACCAGCAAATAAAAAGTGAGCGTTTCGGAACCGGTCTTGATTATTTCTCATGTTACGCGTGCGTAGTGAGTCTGTCGTCTTTCAACTTTCAACTGAATCAAGTGAATCCCCGACTCCGTTTGTAGTCCGAAAGAAGAAAGAAAGAAATTTATCTCGAATATATTCAAGTGTACCTTAAAATCCTCCAGCCTTTAGCTTATGCCATCGATATACATATTACCCTTATTAGATAATGATCAGAACATATCACCACTTTTTAATCGGCATGAATTCAATGACATTAGCTGTAATGGATACATATAAACTACCACAAAATCGGTTAAAATTTATAAAAAACATATTTTTCTGTTTGTTTGCAAAATCTTAAGTGGTTTTAGTCTCATTTGTACTACAATAAATTAATAATATAGGTTATTTGAAAATCGTAAATTAATAATACAAGAAAATTTATATTAACATAATTTTGTCTGTTATGATGGTAATTATTCTAATTTATGTCATTTTGCTGACTTAACTCGCAGAGCTTCATGATTTAAGTCAAAAATATGGACAATCATTATAAAAAATTTGGTTAAATTACATTATATTGATTTAAGTCTTTATGAAAATGACTTGATTTGAAAGAAAATGATTTAAGACAAAGACTTAAGTTCAAATCATTTTGATTTTGGAAATAGACTTGTTGCAGCTCTGCTATTACTATAGATAGTTTATAATCATCTGCTGATGATGCTAACATGGTTAGCGAAACGCGCGTCCCGTGTAAAAGTAAAAGTGTTTTGGTGAATTGTGGTGATTTAGTGTAATTTTATTTTTCTGCTATTATACCATTTAACATATCTACTTGCACTTATTTAAGAAGACACGCTATACAGGGTGGTCCGAACTGTATTCCGGAAACTTCGGCAGCGTATTCTGCAGATAAAAATAAGTAAAAAAGTTCGTATAAATGTATGTCCTAAAATGCTTAGTTTCAGAGATAAAGGGTGTAGAAGTTTCATTCTTATTTCGATTATTTCCAAGTAATTTTTGAAGTAACGTCAATATTTGGATGAAAATAGGTGTCTAGGAGTTTTTTGACATGAGAAATTTGATTTTGATGTCAATATGACTCCTACTGGTAGAGGGCGCCACCTACATGTATTTTAACTGTTTTGAAGCGTAATAACTTTTTGTCCGTACCTGTATAAAACTACCGAGGAAAAAAATATACTTTTCTGTGACTTTTTACGTAAAAAATTTCGATTCCAAATATCTCGAAAACCAATACTGGTACCGATTTTTACCAAGAGACATTTTTATGGAAAAAATGTCGTAAATGTATATTTTTTACTCGGTAGTTTTATACAGGTACGGACGAAAAGTTATTACTCTTCAAACCAGTTAAAAAATATGTAGGTGGCGCCCTCTACTAGTAGGAGTCATATTGACATCAAAATCAAATTTCTCGTGTCAAAAAACTCCCAGACACCAATTTTCATCCAAATATTGACGTTACTGCAGAAATTATATGGAAAAAATCAAAATAAAAATGAAACTTCTACACTCTGTATCTCCGAAACTAAGCATTTTAGGGCATACATTCATACGAACTTTTTTACTTATTTTTATCTGCAGAATATGCTGCTGAAGTTTCCGGAATACAGTTCGGACCACCCTGTATATCAACAAATAGTAGACAATCATATTTGTTTTTTATTTATTTTTTGGGTGATAGATTTAGTTCGTTCTTATAAAATATGGACGATATGAACTAAGTTGAAATCTGAAATCAAATCTTAATAATTGTGGATATATACACTTAAATCATGAATGTTGAAATAGAAAACGGGTTTCTTAACTAATCAAGTCTTCTTAAACTATCTGTTGATTGTTGGTAGGCATGAAGCCTAAATTCTTGCGTTGTAGGAAAAGATGTATTTCGGAAAAACGTGGCCTGTCAGCTGCGTTCCTTTTCCAGCATTCACCCATTAAGTCGTATATTTCTCGAGGACACAATTGGGGTCTAGGCAAATATCTAGTAAAATATATGAATTATTAATAAAATTGAGTATTAAAACATCAGTATTATATCTTATTTTCTTAGGTTGAGGATTGTTTTTAATATAAACAAATTTTTGTTATAATTTTGACATTTTGCTACAGGCTTCAATAAGAATCTCTAATAGATAGCATCAATAAGAAAATGTAAAAAGTTCCTCGAAATTAGTGGAAAAAAATTAGTGGTTTTAATTATACTTTACAATTAATTTTTTTCCTTACCACAATTTCTCTTCTCACGTATAATAACAAAAAGGCAAAATGCCATTCCCCACTAATTTTGAAGTATAATTAGTGACAAAAGTTACAAGTTTGTTAACTTTTCCACTAATTGAAAATTACTAAAGCTTCATTCAGAGCCTCGCAATTAGTGGAATAAATTAGTGGTTTCAATTAGCGCAGAAGTTTGTTCCTTTAATTTCAATCTAAGCATTCAGAACGTCAAAATTAGTGGACATTTTCAATTATTAGGAAAAGTTGTCAACCTTTTAATTTTTCCACTAATTATACTTCAAAATTTGCGAAGCCTTTGATAATCTTCCGTCAAGAGAAATTACTGTGGTTAGAAATCAAAAGTTGATTGTTTTATAAGCTAAATATTAGGCTTTCTCTATGAATACAACTGACTAACGCAAGCTGTTGCTAGGATATTCTATTAATTTTAATTTTGTTTTTTAAACATTGTGAATCATAGTAAACTAAAAAGTATAAGGTGTAATTGAAACCACTAATTTATTCCACTAATTGAGAAGTTTTGAATGAAGCTAGAACAATAATTTTGACGACTTGAATGCTTACAATGAAATTAAAGGAATAAACTTCTACGCTAATTGAAACCAATAATTTATTCCACTAATTTCGAGGTTCCGAATGAAGTTTAATAGTTTCGAATTTTAATTCAATTTTTTTTAATTGATCTAATTATTAGTTCAAATCTGATGAATTCAAAGAAGGCAATAATGTAAGTAATAATTTAACTTAATTTGCCTTCTTTTTAAATAATGCTTCATTCAGAACCCCAAAATTAGTGGTTTCAATTAGCGTAGAAGTTTATTCCACTAGTTTTAATGTAAGCATTTAAAACGACAAAATTAGTGGTAGAAATTTTCAATTAATAGAAAAAATTAAAAAACTTTTTGTGAGTAATGTCATTTTGGCTTTTGATTTTCATTCGTCAAGAGAATTTGTGGTTAGAAAAAACAAGTTGACGGTTATTTGACAAATTAGTTAGAAAGAACATTCTTGCTTTATTAAGATATTCTATTAATTTTAATTTTATTTTTAATTCATTGTGAATATCGTAAACTCTTCTAAGTATAAAGTTTAATCGAAACCACTAATTTATTTCACTAATTTCCAGATTTGAATGAAACTTCAGACATTTTTAAAATAAATTTTTGTTAATTGTTATTTTCATGTTTCATTTATGTTCAAATTTTACAATAAAAAAATTACAATATAAAAAACACAAACAACATATTACAGGGAAAAATTTACTCTTGTGCTATAATTTACTTTGTACTGCAAAAAATAAATTAAAAACATCTTTGTTTCTACTTTTTGAAAATTTGTTAAGAAGTTTTGGAATAGCGGTAGAAAAATACTTACCGTTGACATCCATCGTTTTGGTACCAATGATTTGCATTTTCGACCACCTGTTCACTTGTTAGCTCAGCATATGGTTGTTGTGTGCAGAGCATCAATATTTCCCATAAAGTTATAGCAAACGCCCACACATCACTTTTGGTTGTTTGTCGACCCTGAAAAATAATGTCAATAGGGTCAATTGGTGCAAAAATGGCAAATGAAAATATTTTATGTGCGTTTTTAATAAATTACTTAATGTCTGTCTGATATAAATTATTATGGATTTGGCCATTTTCAGTGGCGGCTCGGACAAGTGTGACTGGGTAGGCGACAAAATTTTAGTTGCGACTATTTGCCCCCGCCTCCTAATTTACATAATACCCTAGTCCAGTTTGTTATATGTTATCTCTGGGTTAAAAACATAGCTCAAAAATATGTAATAAATCGCTTAAATTCTGCCAAAATCTTAGGGTAGGCGCCGCCAACCTTGCCTACCCTGACGAGCCGCCACTGGCCATTTTAAAAGCCACTATAATGCCTTTTCTTTACGATCGTTTAGAATCTGCAATATATACTTACCAGCAGGAGTGCTTCCCAAGACATCCATCGGATTGGTAACCTCGCCTTTGTGTCACTTATATAATATTCACTTTCATATCTCTCACAGTACATTGCATGATCTGATATTTTTACCGTAAAGTTCTTGTCTATTACACAATTCCTAAAATAGAAGACAGTATTATAGTTGAGGGTTGGAACTTTTGGTGTTGCAAAAGCAAAATAAAACACTAATTTACCACAATACACCAAAACACTTTTACTTTTACACTGGACGCGCGTTTCGCTAACCATAGCAGCATTATTAGGAGATGATTAAAACTCAAAATATAAAATAGTTTTAACCATCTCCTGAATATGCTAACATTGTTAGCGAAATAGTCCAGTCATCTTAGGAGTTTCACCTCGGAATTCGAGATAACCAGCTGTAAACTCGTATAAGCCTTTATTTTAACATCCTAAAACATGTCTCAAAACCTACATATGATAGCGTGTGCGCGACTTGTAGATAACTGAGGTCAAAGGTCAAAAAACCGATTTTTTTGCGCATTTTTTTGCAAATATCTCGTTCCCTTTCACATTTACGTTATTTGTATTCATTATAAATATTGTAGAGGATAAAATTCTTTACAACCTTTGTTTCAAAAATTTTTTGTACCTCAAACTCAAACCGTTTTTGAGATAGAGGGCGGTGAGCGCGCAGTCTTTCATTATGTACGGTATCATTCAAGTTCAACCTGTAGTCTTCGTCAAAAACACGCCGTATAAAGTCTATTTATTGAAAAATATATAATTATAAATAATTTACATTTATTCATAAAAGATTATATTGAATATAATATTTTTTTTTTCATAAATTAAGTGTATCTTCATTTAATAACACTTACCTCTTTGTACAATTAGAAAATTATTAACAGAAATACTTTAATTACATTTACAGGTACAAAAAAAATTTTGAAACAAAAGTTGTAGAGAATTTTATCATCTATAATATTTATGATAAATACAAATAGCGTAAATGTGAAAGGGAACGAGATATTTGCAAAAAAGGGGGAAAAGTCGATTTTTTGACCTTTGACCTCAGTTATCTACAAGTCGCGCACACGCTATCATATTTATGTAGGTTTTGAGACATGTTTTAGGATGTTAAATAAAGGTTTATACGAGTTTACAGCCGGTTATCTTGAATTCCGAGATTCCTACCCTATTTCGACTAAGATGACTGGACTATAACGCGCGGTTAATGTTAAAAGTTGGTGTGTTGTGGTGAATTAGTGATTTATTTTGCAAAAAATATATAATGTTTTATTATTAAAATTTAAATATATTTTCGATATATTTATATAATATATTTTTATTACAAGTGCTAAAATAATTTTCTTTTATTAAAATTTAAGCCATTTTATTCCTATATTGATAAAGATTATTTTTTTTAGTTTTGTTAGTTTAGTCTACCAATAAATAAAGCAGTAAGAAAAGATATTGGGGCATCTGAGTACAGGTAGGCCTAACATATTTCTACTATTGAAAGTTTTAAAAAATTACATAAAATTTTTATGCTATCAATGATACTGAAGTTTTATTTTCCATTAATTATGGTACATTTACGAGGTCGCTATCAGCCTAATCTAGTGCGACCCTTTCAGATCTATGTTGGTCATCTTCTGATCCTCAGGTTACATTCTTCGTTCCTATCATTTTTACAAAGTCTACAAGCTCTTTCTCAATGGTCTATCATTATAACAAAAGAACTAGAAAGTACTCTCAGGCTGTTGCACCGACATAAAATGTGTTCAGTCGTTTCTTCTTTAGATTGACACAACCTGCACATGGCTTCGTCTGTCAATCCCATCAGCTTTAGATGTTAGATGCCGATTCAGCTTACAATGCTCTCTTAGTACCTAGACTGAAGACTGTCAAAGTCTTTCTGCCTTTGCTTATCAAGTCTGCTGTAAATTTTGGCGAATGTTCTACTATGAAATTTTTCGCCTGTCTACCCTGGGGAATTTTTCCATCATTCTAGAAATTTGTTGATCACTCACCATTTTGTGGTCTTTCTTGTGACTGTATTTTGCTATTTTATACAATATATCTACTCTTTGGAATAGCCCAAATCAACCTTTAAAATTAACAATTTCAATATAGGTGGAATATAATATGCAATTAAAAATAATACCTCGAATAATACTATACATAAATATGTTTTTTGTACCAAAAATTCTTTGCATAATTTTCGTACTCAAAACTTTTGTATGTGATTAAAATACATTGTTTGCAAACTTTTCAACGTTTTCCTATAAAAAGTTATATATACTCCGCCGTTGTTGAATTTTAAAAATTTTATAATTATCCCTGTGAACTTTAAAACAAAATTTACAATTTTCTGTGAAATATGGTATCAACATAAAGGTTATACGTTTTTTAATACTTTGTACCGACATTACAGACTCTAAAACTATACTAAATATGTTTTTTGTACCAAAAATTCTTTGCATAATTTTCGTACTCAAAACTTTTGTATGTGATTAAAATACATTGTTTGCAAACTTTTCAACGTTTTCCTATAAAAAGTTATATATACTCCGCCGTTGTTGAATTTTAAAAATTTTATAATTATCCCTGTGAACTTTAAAACAAAATTTACAATTTTCTGTGAAATATGGTATCAACATAAAGGTTATACGTTTTTTAATACTTTGTACCGACATTACAGACTCTAAAACTATACTTTAAATATAATCTTTCTGTTTCTGATTTTATTAATGTATACAGGGTTCGGCAATAGTGCATCGGGCATCTGTAGCTCCTAGAATAAAAAAGTTGAGAGTTTTGTTTAAGTGCAAACCTAAAGTATATTCTAGGATGTATTTCAGGAAAATATTTTAACTTGTATAAGGTGGCTCAATAAAGTGTAAGTAGCTCTGGAGGATTTTTTTAAATGGAACACCCTGTATATTATTGCATTTTTGGCTTCCTTTCAGATCACTTTACATAATCCTAAGATATGAGCAAATATATTTCGATAGTTTCAGAGATATTAATAAATAAATAAAAAATATACAGGGTGTTTCAGAAAACATGTGCCAGCTCTCGTGGGGAGATTCCTCGCGTAAAAATATTTATTTTTTATATCAATATAGGTCCGATTCTGCTTTGTTTCGTAGCTACAGGGTGTAAAGTCTTAATATTTTTTCGATTTATTATAATTTTCTTCGAAGTACTTTTATAGTATACTATAAATGCGACATATTTTAAAGCTAAAAAAGTGTCAACATATTCACCAGGGACGTGCATATGGGTTATCACTGGAATATTTTGCTAAAAAAAGTATGTACGCTACTGACTTTTTATTTTGTTTTGTTAGCGCAGTAGTGTAAGTAGTTTAATGCCGATTAAAAGTTGCCTCTTGATATTTTGTTGATTTCGGCCTCCTTGATGAGATAAACGCAATTTTATTAATTTGCCTTGATCCAAGTCTAATAGCAACCTTTAAAAAAATTATTATCATTAACTTGAGAAAGTTTTAATATAATATAAGTACTCATTGATTCCTCATCAAAAAATATAAAAAAGCTACCTATAAACATGGGTATGGAAATGCATAGTTTTAGAGTTACAGGATGTTAAAACTTTTTAAAATTAGGTTTTTTATAATTATCTTGCTGCAAATGCCATAATTTTATTATTTGAAATTGCTTTATGCTCGACTAATAGTAGTAATAACTAATAGTAATAATATTTAGTAATAAATTAGATAAAATAATTAATTTATTAATTTCATTTTTATTTTAATTTTATTAATTGTGATTAATAAAATTGCGCTTATCTCATCAAGGAGGCAGAATTCGACAAAATATCAAGAGATAACTTTTAATTGGCATTAAACGTCCTACACAATTTTGATATTAAAAGAAAAAAAGTCAGTGGCGCACATGTTTTTTAGATATTCCGGTGATAATATTATGCACGTCCCTGATGAATTTATCGACACTTTTTTAGCATTAAAAGATGTAGCACTAATAGTAATTTTTACCCCCCATATTTCATTCAAATCACTAAAAATACGTGGAAGAAAATTATAATAAATCGAAAAATTATTAACACTAACACCCTGTAGCTACGAAACAAAGCAGAATCGGACCTATGTTAATATGAAAAATAAACCATATTTTTACGTGAGGAATCTCCCCATGAGAAATGTCACATGTTTTTTGAAACACCCTTTAGATTAGTTAAGACTAAGAGGGTTAGGAAAATCGATGTGTAACATCTGTAGTTTCATAATAAACACAAACTTATTTAGTTGTTTAGATTAGTCTGTTTAATAAAGTAGAAAATTGATATGAAAACCATATTTTTGTATTACATTATCTTGTAATTATATCTTGTATAAATCTAATACATACTGAATATTATCTAATACATTCAAAATACAAGCTAATGTATTGTGGAACAGAAAGTAATTTTTAAGTGTATAGAATATAGCACTTTGTGAGAGTTATGATTTAATAGGTTGGTGGTATTAAAGTTGTTTGAGTAATTGCCAGCCGAGGAAGACTGAGGCTTCTTTGAGAGATTAGTACTATAAATAACAGCATTAAGATTGCCGATGGGATAATGTTGAAATTTATTCAGGAAGTTTGTAGAAAATATGTTACTTAATTAAATATAAATATCAGTTTGCTTCCTTATTACATATTAAGCTTTTAGAATAATGATCACTAAAGTAATTTAGTCTACAGTAATGCTAGAGATTATTCTTTTTGATGATCAACATTAAAATTTTATTTAAGAGAATATGTCCTCTGAAGTTTTACCTAGAATTTCCCACTTAATGGAATAAATTAGTGATTTCAATTACGCTTTATACTTTAAAAATTACGATCGATCATAATGTCTAAAAATATACAATTAAAATTAATAGAATATCCTAGCAACAGTTTGCGGTAGTCAGTATTAGCTTATATAGTTACATATTTACATACATAGTTATATATAGTTACTATTAGCTTATAAAACAATACATTTTTCATTTTTAACCACATTTTTTCTTGACGAATGATAATCAAAATCCAAAATGACATTACTCGCAATTTTTGAAGTATAATTATTATTGACAAAATAAGATCTAAGGGCAGAAGTTAAAAGGTTGTTAACTTTTTCCATAGATAAAGGATATAAATTTAGATTGGAATGCCAGTCAAAATTTTGTGTAGCGAAATTATTTTGGGTCGCGAACGTTGCACGCGATCTGGCGCTGCTATAGCGGTTGCTAAGAACAACCGCAAGCACAAACAGAAATAATTTTCTCTTGTCCATATCTCTTGTGAAAGTCAGAATCTTCAAAAACTATAAAATCTTTCAAAATCTAAACCGCTCTCATTGAAAAAATTCCGAAGTGTTTAAAGCGTCCATTTTCAAAGTGCTTTCTTCAAATTCATCGCTATCTTGTGAGTTTAATTTACTCAAACCCGTGATAATTGTGAAAAAGTGGCATTAAAAACTTAAAAAGCTGTGCTGTGAACTGTGAACTGGAAAAGCCATCGTGGATCGTGGCATAACGTCGGTTTCCAATGTTTCATAGGTATTTCCTACATGTCCTTATATGAAATAAAGTTTCTTGTATGCAACACACTGTATTTTATTTATAAAATTAAAAGAAAATAATAATAAATTTGACTAAATAATATTTGGCGATATAATTCCGGAAAAACCCGAACCGCTCCGAAATTTTCAAAAGCTTTGGGTCGCGACCGTTGCAAGAATAGCGCCAAATAATGTTCACATTGCTCTTATGGGCACTTTCCAATCTAAACTTACTTTTTCTATTAATTGAAAATTACTAACACTAATTTTGACGTTCTGAATGTTTACGCTGAAATACGAGGAACAAACTTTTACGGTCACTGAAACCACTAATTTATTTCACTAATTTCGAGGTTCTGAATGAAGCTTTTGTATAGATTTTATTTATTATTATGTCTTTTGAGCTACAAATAAATATTTCATATTTAATTAAATCTTCTGTTAATTTTTTTTAAAAAATGAACAGTTCAGTTAATTTAATAAAATATTATGTACGTATTATAGTATTTAGTACGCTATATTATTGTATAATATACATACAAACCTGGCAGCTAAGTCTCTATGTATTAAATCTAAAGATTCTAAATACTTCATTCCAGATGCTATCTGCGTGGCTACGTAGATCAGAGATCCATAACTGAAATAAGAAAATTAAATAAGTATGGTAGTTTAGTCATTAAAAAACAAATATATACTAGTTACTACTAATTACAATATTTATTGTATAATGCTATTAAAATATTGATAATTTTTATTACGGTTTTTAAGAAGTCCTGTAAAAATAGTATATTGTTTTATTAGGACTAAAAATGACACTTATATTGTCAATCACGTCATAAAAATTAATACTCTTGTGATGTTTGAAAAAAAATATTTTGAGTTAAATTGCGCGAAAAAAACATGTAATACTTTTTAATTGCATTATTGCAACAAATTAAAGTTACTGTGGAGTAGTTAGTTGCGATAAATCGGTTTATAACAAAGAATTTACCTTAATATGTACGATAACAAAATAGATTAGAACTTAAAGCATCCTCGCACTAATATACCACCCGGTAGTTTACCAATTTTAACGAAATGAGCTTCATACCATTACTAATTATGAAAATGATGAATCAGTTTTATATATTGTTAGTTAGGTTAGTTTCTCTCTCTTAATTATTAGTAATCAATATACAGGGTGTCCCAATATTCCGACATAGAACTACTACGTATTTTTGGAATTCTTCATTGTTCAAACCCTCGCTAGAGGGCATCAAACTTCGCAAAAAGTATGCTCTGTGGCGTTTTTTTTTACAAGAGACAAAAAATGTAGTAAATACTAGAAGGACCATTTAACGAAAAAAAAATTGATCTTCGGTGGAGTTGGAAAATATTTATACTAAAATTTATGTAGAGGTGAGGTTTTCACCTTTCTCGTAGTTTTTCTTGAATTTTGTGGAAGTCAAATGTTAAAGAACTTACCAAAACTCAAATAGACACCCAAAATATCATTCAAATCGGAACAAACAGTTCTTAAAATATCTGAAAAAATGTGTTTTTTAGGTTTGATGCCCTCTAACGGACAAACGAAGCACTTTTGTGTAGAGGTAAATTGTGTCCAATGAACTTATTTTTATTCCAAAAATACATAGTAGTTCTATATCCACGGAATATTGGGACACCCTGTATACAAGTATGAACGTAATGATGTAAACCCAAGGGAATACTGATACATATATACACGATTCTCTTGGGTTTACATCAAATTGGCTCTCTGAAATATGACTTATTCACAAATTGATATAAATCCAAGTTGGCCTATATTTAAGTCTTGACAAGAGAATATCATCAGGGACATTTACCATATAGTTTTAGGTACATAATTATAAAATAAATATAAAATTATATATCTTAATTTCCAAGTTAACTCTGACGCGGTATTTTTTCGATCTTATGGTATATTAACATAATGTCTAGTCTTTGTGGCCAGTGATGTTTACAAAAAAATTAGATGACTCTTTCAGTGGCGAAATTCCCAAGCTTTTCTCAAGAAAAAAATAATGTTTGCTAATTTTTTTAAAATGCAGTGTACGTATTGTATTAAAACTTTGCAGCTTCAAATAATTATTAACTGGTAGAATTCAGCTTTTCCTTCATCCGTACTTGAAGGCGAGAGGCAAATATATCGTTTGTTATGTTAAATCGATAACTTCTTGAAAATAATCCAAGTTTTAAGTTCCTCTATCTGAAAGTTGCAATCTAAAGTATTCACCAAGTTTAAGGCGAAATAGCCTAAAGAGCTGGCGAACGCTGGAGAGAATTTGAAATTATCTAGCATCTGCTGGATAATGGCTAATTCCTGAGAGACGCTGCGGTTATTTTCGACTCAGTCGTTGATAGAGCGTGAAATACGAAAAGGCAAAAATAATTATAGATTTTTTTCAGTTAGTTATTACAAAAATTGACTTAAAATTATTAAATTTTGATATTATTTTTCTTCAATTTTATAGTAAAAATATTGTAGCAAACGAGCTTTGGTTTTTTTTGCTAGGATCGCTTAAGTTCTAGGTTCTCTCTTTTAGATTAAAACAACTATTACAAACAAGATCTATTAGTATTTTAATAAAACACGCTTTTAGGTGTATCAAATTTAATAGAGAGTAACTTATCTCTACATATGTTTTGGCTTGTTAGGCCTTTTTTAAGAGGTTTTTATTTATTAGTGGATATAAACAAATATAAATGCCAGTGATGGTTGTTGACCTATATAATAGACCTTAAAAGCGATATTCATTTAGAAGATACGGCATTTCAAAGCCAACGTTCCCAAAAGAAAATTAGAGGCAGTCATCCCGGAAATTAACTGCGACCTAAATATTTCGATTTTGTAATACGAAAATAGGGGTCTGTATATATAATTTATCATTCGCATTTATGGCATATTTATCATTACTCAGATAGCTGGATATTTAGCTTAATACAAAACTTCAAAAAATTATATAAAATATTTACTATATTAAATGCCACCGAGTACCTATAGACAATATCAAATTATTAATTACATTGATATTGTTAATACTATTTTGTTAGTAATAATAAAATATTTTTACTAATTTATTATTAAGTATTACACTTTATACGTATTCATCATGTTTTATAGGTTTCAAATTATAACAAAATGGGTTTCACACCTTGACTAATTATGAAAATTATGAATCAATTTTAAATACTGTTTGATTTTACTATTTTTTAATATTAGTGATCAACATATGTATATCAGTAAGTGTATATGTCGCACTCACTTAGTGTAATTGTCCGTTTCATGAAGTGGATATCTACTTCGCTAACTGACACCAACCAGTTCGCGAACCTATACAGTGCGATACATATAATATGTCGCATCCACTTAGTGTAATTGTCCGTTTCATGAAATGGATATCCATTACGCGAACTGGTTAGGTTATGTTATGTTAGGTTTGCGAACTGGTTAGGTCTCAGTTCGCGAAGTGGATATCCGTTTCATGAAACGGACAATTACACTAAGTGGGTGCGACATATACAAATATTGTATAAATAATAGTCACATAACAACAACAGCAACACTCTAACCATTAACTCCGTTAAATCTCTTAACAATTTTGGAGAGTTATAACTTTTCATTATTTCCTATATTACAACAACTGTATAAAAAATATGTATCTCCACCATTTTTAACTACTAAGTACTACTACTTTTAGTACTACTAACTACTTTTCTCTTAGAACCAAACTGCTACGAGCAACCGTTCTCAAAATATTTAGAATAGAAATTATCAATACATGTCATCATTGACAAAAAATAAACATGTTGACTAGATAGTTGCTTGACTTAAATGATAAATTTGGAAACTTCATAGTCTTTATATTAATCATACATTTTTAACAAAAAATACAAGTTTTAACAAAACATTTTTTGTTAAACGTTTGGAATAAAAACATTTTTAAATTTATTATTTTAGTCCAATAACTATCTAGTCAACATGTTTAATTTTCGTCAATACTGACATGTATTGATTATTTCGATTCCAAATATCTTCAGAACCATTACTCGTACTGATTATTATCAAGAGACACATCTTTTCTTCCGTAAAAAATAGAGGAAATGTATACTTTTTTACTCAGTTATTGCAGTACGGACAAAAAGTTATTACACTTCAAACCAGTTAAAAATATGTAGGTGGCGCTCCCCAAGTAGAAGTAATATTGATAACAAAATTAAATTTTTCATGTCAAACACACCAAGTTTCACCCAAATATCGAAGGTTCTTCAGAAATAGAAGTAAGCAGAAGAAAAGGAATAACGGCGAATGCAGATTCTGTGGGGGAAAATGGGGAAACACCAGAACACATCATTACTCAGTGCACACAACCATTTGTGCCATACACTTTGGTATCACTGATATCGGATGGTGAATTATCCCCTGAAAAAGCGTTTCAGATAATGGCTTTTGTCAAAGCCCTGACAGTGTATGATGAGTTATAACTGAAGGACACATTAGGCCACTAGATCTATAAGGTAGCGGTGATTAACTTCCCCCCTCTACAATCTACAATCTTGATCAGACATTATTTGAAAAAAATCGAAATAAAAATGAAACATAAGCATTATCACACAAATTGCACAACACAGGCTGTTGCGCAACGAGTTGTCAATGTATGGTAACGTTTGATGCGTTGCGCAATTGTTTGATAAGTTTCAAGAATGTTTGAATTCTTTTGTGCAACAGAACTCTGCGCAACGCGTTGTGTTGTGTATGTGTGTGTTGAGCTTCGTTGTGCAATATTTTAGTTCTTTCATCCCAATTCTATGTTTTTTTTCGTTTTTTGGTATCAACGACATCATCTAGGGTATATATGACAATAATTGACGCAATGGCAATTTAAGACATGATTGTTTCTCGAACAATGCACAACTTTTAATAAACAGTTTGATCAAAATCTTACCAAGTGCATGGATAATGCCGTTATGCAACGCAACGTTGCGCATCGCTTTGTTGCGCAACTAGTTTGATAATGTATAGGCCGCTGAATCAGTTGTGCAACGCAATGTTGCGCAGCGCTTTGTTGCGCAATTTGTTTGATAATGTATGGGCCGCTTAATATTAAGGCCGAAACAACACAAATTTACGCAAACTTTTTATCAGCAGAATATGCTGCCGAAGTTCTCCGAATACAATTCTGATCACTCTGTATTCTAGATGTCGAACTCTTACTAAATTAAAAATCTGACTAAAAAAAACAGCTATAATAAATATAATTTTTTGAAAACATAAATAAACGCAGGAAAGTAACTCTACGTGTCCTCTTTCTTATTTTGATTCTATTCAACTCCGTCTTTATTCAGTAGTAAAAAACCAATTTATAACTAAAAATTGTTACAATACGTACGATACAACGCCTAAAAAACAAATGTTCCCTATTCGTTGCTTCGAAACGAAAAACGTCGCCCTATAATCAACTAGTACTTTCGACTTTCCAGCTGCTTGCTCGTTGTTTTCGCGACTTTTATCCTTCTTTTCTTCCGCCGTTTCCGAGAATTTACAGCTGTTCTAAGGGCTTCGGGTTGGCCGATTCTGTTACACCCAGTAATTTTTACACTCGACGTCAACAAAAGCGGCCCCGAGTAACAATCGTATCACACGCCCAACTTTTTCGAATGAAAAATGTACGACGCATTTGTGAAATGACACAGTTTTGGTTGCAGACTCTCGTAAAACTTCATACTTTATGTATCGGAGGAGAGATAACTTTTTAGCTTCGATTCTGAATGAGAATACCGAAGACTCGAGTATTTTGATGGTTATATTTCCAATAATTTATTATCTAAATTCTGTTCTGTCGCTGTTCAAGGGAACAGTTTATATTTTGTATCGACAAACAGATATCTCTGTTCACTATAGTTTACTCGAAAACTACAAATGTGTCCTTTTTGTGTCGATGTAGGTCAAAGCAACTAAAATGTAAACAATTCAGGATTACATTTACATGCGGATGTGCTAGAATATTCCATGACATCTTTGTAATTATAAAAATAAGTATAAATACCATACGATCGAAAAAAACACCATTAAAGACGGCTGGAGAATGACTTTGCCACTACGATTGTTTATTTTTTAATGGCACTTACTGCCATTTGGTCTTAAGAGGGTTGTATTAAATTTTTATATTGAGTAGAAATGATTTATAAATGGTATAGTTTAACGTCCGAGAAAAAATAACATAAAAACTTAAATTTTTGACAAGTTTTATATCAATTTTTAGTAAATGACGTCTAGAGATTGGCCTCGGTCAAATTATTATCGCTTTTCATTCTTTGATGCCGTTTTTTCTCGATCATAATGAGATTGAACATTTAATATAATCAAAACTGTATTTGCGGAATATTAAAATATGATATATTAATTTATTAAACTAAAATAGACAGATTGTTATGTTTATGCCCAACGATGTACAAAAGAAAGTTAATAATGATACTTAACAACAGTTCTTGCCTGATCTTCTCCAATGCTCCTTTCACATATCGAATCGTTAAGAGGGCGAGGGCACTCTCCTCAGGCTGGCGCACCAATGAGTCAGACTTGCAATTGGATATAATATTGTCTAGGGATTTTTCAGAGTAACTATTCTGAAGCAAATCGGTTTTAATTAGTGATGGGAAAAACCGATTAATTTCAATAATCGAGTACTCGAGTTTCAAGCGATTGCAATCACCGTGATCGCTCGAGCGAAATATCACTCGTATTTAAAAATACGGTTTTTCACCCGTCGCTTGTTGTAAGTACTCGTTAACTCCAAGCGCCAAGCAGTAAGTTGCGTGCGCAGGGCACATGTTCTTTCGGTGATGAATGTCAAGTAGCAAGTGGCGAGCGATTCGCTTGATCGCTTGATTTAGTTTATTTCAAAGCATTGTCGATGTAGGTCGTAAAATTTTGTCCCTCAGATACGCAACGGATAAATATATATACGGCGTCGTATAAATTTGCTGCCTGCAATATATCTAGAAAATGCGCTCTGCTTTTTATCGAGTATATCACATTAAAATCGGATTTAAATTTATTTCATTCTAGGATCGATTGCGTTCGTCGCTTGGAACTCGTCACTTGCATCGCTCGTTCATAATCGAGCGATGTCGGTTATTTCAATAATCGAGTACTCGCGAGCGAATTTTCCCATTTTATCCCATCACTAGTTTTAATATTACTTTGTTACAATTTCGAAACGTAGTGTAAGCAAAATAAATAAAGACAATGGAAGTCCGAAATTCTTTTAGTTTTAATACTGAACCTGTTTACCACATTCAAAGTAACACGGTATAAACATAGATGATCATACATCATACTAATCTATGAAAATTAAAAACGATTATTTGTCCAATGCCTATGATTTTTACCCTTTTTAAATAATATTTAATTACACTTCAGCATGAGAGAAACACATTCATCATGTGTGACTGTGTGTATTCGTCCACAAAAATGATAAAAATTTCGAATTAAAAGTTGGATAAAAATAATGCCATTAGGAGTTATCTCGCCTACCTTTTTGCCGCTTGGGATTCTGTCATAAAGTCCATGGCGATCATTAATTATAACTTATACGGGATTTTGGTTGTTTTTAAACTGATTTCTTTCTCCATGCGTATGAAATATATCGGACGGTACAATTTTTTCATTGCCTTTTTTCAGTTTTAATATCCTGCAGTACCTACTTTATAAATAATTATTATAAATATACGTATCATGTTCTTTTTATGTCTAGAGAGTATTAAAATAACATTGATATAGGCTTGGTGCATTCTCCGCCGGTGCTGCCACAGCCGGAGAATATCGTAAATAACGAATACATACAAATACACCGGTTTAAATGGCGAGTAAACGAAAAAATTAGTATATAATTATTCTAAAAGTATTAGAAAGTATCATTTGTGGAAATTTTAAACAAAAAAATAAAAGGTAAATATTAGGTGATAAGTGACAACAAAGTCATTATAAAAAACGAGTTTTATTGATAAAATTTGAAAATTGTGTTTATAATCAATTTAAAATTACTATTGCCAAAATTCATGCTTTTTGTTAAAAAATAGGATAATCCATTTTTCATGTGAAACAAGGGCAAGCATTTTGTACAGTATAATGTATATTTGTTACTGACGATCACTATAATTTTTTTTTGAGTAGATAATTATTTGACTAAAATAATAAATTTGGGAAATTTTTATTTTTTTAAATTAATCATAATTTTTTAATCGAAAAAATGATGATAAAACAGTTTCTGTCGAACTTTTGACACAAAAACATTTCAACTTTATGATTTCAGTGTAATAACTATTTAGTTAACATGTTTAATTTATGTCAATGATGACAGGTATTGATAATTTCGATTCCAAATATCTCGAGAACCATTACTCGTAGCGACTTTTACCAAGAGACCTTTTTTCCGTAAAAACTGGCGGAAATGTATATTTTTTCATTCATTAGTTTTATACAGGTACCGACAAAAAGTTATTACTTTTCAAACCAGTTAAAAGGTATATGGTGGCGCCCTCTACAAGTAGGAATCGTATTGGCACCAGACGCCAATTTTCATCCAAATATTGACGTTACTTCAGAAATTATATTTTTCAATATTAAGTTTTGACAAAAAATATGAAATATTGCTTTTTAAAACCAGCATTACATTTATATACGTAACGTAATTCAAATAAATTGGCGAGATACAAAAGTAGACATTTTCCGCCATCTTTTTCGTGAACAAAATTGGCTATTAGTGTTTTCCATACAAGGGGAAGAGAAAAAAACGAGCCCGATATATTTTCGGCAAAAAGCAAAACTAAAAACCGAAGACAGAAATCAGTTCCTTGCCCCGGGCATAAACGCTCGAACTTTGATAGATATTAAATTGGAAACTCTCTTATAAAGGCCGACATCAAAAGATGCTCGAATCTTTGAGAAAAGACTTAAGAAAAATGTTTTCCATTTATTTTTTTTCTCTCGGTGCCCAACTTTTTGCTCGGTTTTGTTCGCGAATGAATTGGATCGGAATAGGGCAAATCAGGTTATTATTTCTGCTTTGGATAAATATAAATAGGATTAAGGTAATTGATTTCGCATTAAGAGCATTAATAACAAATATCTTGTGAATATAATTCTATATTTTTTCTTGTAGCAACTTATTGAGTTTAAAGATAATTTATGCTCATGGAATTGTTAATGTTTATAGGCAATTTAAACTTATTTTCCCATAAACACTTTTAATGAGATTTTTTATATAGTGTGTAAGACAGAAAATATATACAGGGTGGTCCAAATTGTATTTAAGAAACTTTGGAAGCATATTCTGCAGATAAACAAACATAAGTAAAAAAGTTCGTATACATTATTTATGTCCTAAAATGCTTCGTTTCACAGATAGGGGATGTAGGAATCTCATTTTTAATTCGATTTTTTAAAATATTTTCCCACCTAATGTCGATATTTGGATCAAAATCGATATCTCGGTGTTTTTTGGCATGAGAAATTTGATTTCGATATCAGTATGACTCTCTACTTGTAAGGAGCACCACCTACATATTTATAACGGGTTTAAAATGTAATAACTTTTCGTCCGTACTTGTATAAAACTACTGAGCGATAAAGTATATATTTTCGCCATTTTTAACGTAAAAAATGCCTCTTCATAGAAATCGCTACGAATAACCGTTCTCCAGATATTTGGAATGAAATTTATCAGTACATGTTATCATTGACAAAAAATAAACATGTTGACTAGATAGATATTTGACTGAAACGGTAAATTCATCAAAGATTTACCAACATTCATGGCATCCAGACCATAAAATAGACTTTAATTATGCCTAATTTATAAGTGGCCGGCCGGCCGTGGCTTCAGCTGTACGAGTGGTATTGGGTTTCGATCCCCAGTACAGTCGCTTTATTTTTGTAAATAAAAATATGTATTTATCTAAATAGTGAGACCGCCAATTCAAGGAAGGCAATGACAAACTACCTTGAGTATATTTGCTTAATTGATAAAAAAATGTTGGTTCCGTGTACTTGGGTAACACTGATGACATACATCACAACTACATGCGACAGGTTGTTAACCCTTTGTATAGAGCATGACACTGAAAGGTGAACTTAAAATCGAAGAACTAATAAACGAAAAAATAAAGAGATATTTTTGTAAAGAGATATTTTATAAAGCTATAAGTACAAAAATCAATTTTATTAAATCATTTAGTAGTGTTTAATTTTTAGTAATTTATAAAAAAAAATATGATTTCAATTCTCGGTCGTTAATTTATCGGATCTCAAACCTTTTTACAAAGCCCAAAATACACATTTTCAACTCAAACAGAAATTTTCTCCTATCCGGATTTTCATTTGTCCTTTTATAAAGCATTTTCTTTTCTAAAAGCTTGGCAGACTAAGTAAAAAAACATCCAGTTGATCTGTTAATGGCTTCGAAAAGCTGTTATTTTATACGCTTTAATTTCCTCCCCACTCTTTCAGTAATTAATTTTAATGGAAATTTGTTTGCTTTCTTTTAGGGCGCAGGGACATAAAAAAAACTTACTCTATAACAAATAAATCACATTAAAATGGTTGTTACAAATGGCAGTACTTATATAAATATACGCCCGGAAGTATGTAATTATTTATAATTTTAGTTTTTTTTTTCTAGGCATCGATCACCAGGATCATTAGCCATATACAACTCATTATTGTTAACAATAATGCCAATTACAGGGATCTATCTCAATATCCTCAAGGGATTCAATCTTACAAGGGCAATTCAAAATTTATAAAACAACATTGACATATACATTTCAAATCAAAATTGACATACACATTTCGAATCAAACAAAAGGATAAAAAACTAAGCACAAAAAAAAGATATAGTATTTTATTTTATTAATGTAGTACTAACTATTGAGAATACTGCATTAACTCTGCTGACCGACATAAATTATTTTATGTTTGTTTCTTGTTAGATTCTTCAAAATAATCCTTAATATAAAAATACACATTTATAAAATGGAAATCCGGTATTTGTAAGTTATGATAAAATAGAAATAACTTATTGTTATTTAAAACTTCTTTTTTGGTAAATCTTTTTTAAATATTGTGTTTAACCAAAATTGCTAATATCAATTCTAACATTATTCAGTAGTAATTAAATTATATAAAATATATTTCAACTTATAATATTCTATTCAACGGACACTATGTTTAAGTAAATTATCATTGCAATTTCACTGACAATTATTTAAATATACAGTAAAATAGAGTAGATTATTAAAGTATGAGTAATTTCTAAGTATAAGAAATATTTTAGAAGTTAGAACTCCAAAAACTGTCCAAATAAATGAAATCCCTTAACATCTTGGACAATTCCTAAAATTTTAAACTTCTAAATTGTTTTTAATTAATAAACGACTAATAATACAGAATTTCTGTCATATCATTAAAAATATTGCCAGATAAATCATCGAAATATTCGATAAAATCGCGGTCACGAAAAGCGATGCTCCTTTGCAAACTGTAACTCTCCAATTTGGAGCCTAATTCGTCGGCCTGCGTCGGATTTATGGCTTTTATCGAGTTTAACGCTTTGCCGGTGCGCTCGCTATAATTAAACCTTATGAAATTCGGGATGAAAGTGAATAATAGATGGCGCGAAAGTCACTCGAAACGCCTGCGAGAATCAAAGTGTCGCGAGGGTTAGTTGAGGAAGCGATAAAATGGTTTCGAAAAGGCTACAAACAAACTAGGTGTCTGGGATGCCTTGCGACACGAGAGGATAAGTAACAAGCCGAATTATATTTAGGTGTTAATTAAATAAAGACTAATTTTGTTGGTGTTTTAGGTTTTGGATTTAATACCTTCTTGCAGTTGGTATTAAGATTTAGTTTAGTAGAGAGTTTTGATTAACGGTATGATCAAATATTTCGGCTCAGTTTTTGCTTATTTTTATTTAAATTTTTTGTTTTTTTATTGCTTTCAATTGCTAAACCTATGTTTTAAAGAAGTTTTATATTATTAATGAAATTGTAGTCCTATATCAAAATATGCCATTTAAATGTAGTACTAATTATTGGGAATACTGCATTAACTCTGCTGACATAAATTATTTTAGGTTTATTTCTTGTTAGATTCTTCAAAACAATCCGTGTAACAAACCTTAATATTTGAGTGTCTTAAAAATACACTTTTATAAAATGTAAATAATATATTAATAAGTTATGAGGAAATAGAAATAAATATTATTTTTTCAAACTTCATAGTTCTTTTTTTTGTGTTTTTAATATTGTGTTAAATCAACATTAATAATAACAATTCTAACATTATTCAGTAGTAATTAAATTATATAAAATATATTTTAACTTAAAATATTGCATTCAACGGACACCACGTTTAAGTAAATTATCATTGCAATTTCACTGACAATTATTTAAATATATAGTAAAATAGAGTAGATTATTAAAGTATGAGTAATTTCTAAAGTATAAGAAATATTTTAGAAGTTGTCGTAAAACTGTCAAAATAATTGAAATCCCTTAACATCTTTGAC